TTAAGAGATTGATGGTGCAACTGAAACTGAAATTATGAGACGGCAGTTATTCTGCAGTATCCTGACGATTATGCTTATTCTGAATTATTCTGAAACTACTAAATTGTGTAAAAGGCTTTAAAGACTCATGTTTAGACTTTTTGTACAGATGCATCTGTAAATGATAGAGTAGGGCAGTGGTTCCCAAACTTTCTCTGCAGGGCCCCTCTTTTCTAGATAGGAACATTATTGAGCCCCCCCATTCAAACTACACAGGTTTAGATTCAAACTTTATTTGAAATACAACTCCCTTTTCTAATTGAGTGAATCAAATGCAATTACAAAATACAAATGGTGCAATTTCACCAATGTGGGAGAAAAAAGAGCAATCAATTAAAAATAGAAGTCCAGCATAAGTTTGAAATTATGCAAATGCAGATTTAACATTCCTGTTAATATCCATTGGCGTACACAAATTAAAGTTTGTCTTGCGTTTACCGCATTTTGTTTTTAATAATAGCCGCAGGTTTCAGCCTATACTATAGCACAAAACAACACTAAATCATACCCATTAATTGATAGTCTCCCTGCACTTCATGTAGAAAATTTTAAACCTCGTTTTTCATGATATGGTTAGATTTTTTTGTCCGGCGCTACAAAACGTCGTCACGCGTCACCATGTCACGTGGTACAAAAACCTTGCAAGAGCAAGACGACTTAAGATAGATCGTACAGCACCTCTCAGCCGGCTGAACAAACTGGAACAGCCTCCGTGACGACACAACTTTGCCCTTATTGGCTGAAGAACGTGACGTTTGTATCCCAGGAATTTCTGATGCGTTATCTGCTATTTCTCCCGAATATCACGTAAAGCATTGAGAACTGGTAAAATAAAGTTTAAATAAATTACATAAATGCTCTAATAGTACACGTAAGTTAGTTACATTGGTGCGTCCCTCCATAATACCTCTGCGCCCCCCAGTTTGGGAACCACTGGAGTAGGGTGATACTTGACCTGAATGATTATTGGTTTGAAGATCGTGCCTAACTGCACTGTCAAGGTGTAAAGGGAGATTGCTTGCGATACTGGGAGGGAATGCCTATTTTGGTCATGTGACATGGACTTGCCTCCAGGGATACGGTGGAAACTGTGGATTCAGTCCATATGGCGGATATGGACCATGCTACCCCTTGTGCAACTCCGCCTTCAACGCCCTGCTGCCCTGCCTGGTGACTTGTCTGACTTCCTGCCCCGCTGTCGCCCCCGCTCCCACCCCCACCCAGGCTCCAGCAGGAAAATAAGACGTCAGACATGGGCGTGGTCACCACACAGACGGCGACCCGGAGTGTCACATGAGAGATCAATAAAGCTCCCTGA